TGCTATCTGGATACTAATAAAGACCTTATCTGCATTGCAAATAGAAACATTCCGGACAAGGTCTTCTTGTAAGACTCTTACAAAGCACGCATGGGCCTTAATACGAATTTAAATTCAACTGTAGATGCTGTAATGCTCTTTTTCTTGGATTATTTAAAATTTATAGAAGGACTCAAGGATAGCAAACAAATAGTTTTTCAAATTATATGAAATACATTGATTTTGTGATAAGAGTTGAAATTCTTTTTCATATATTGTGAGACTTGTGAGTTTAGAAAAGCAATGCAAAATTTTTGTAAGATACGAAGGAAATGGTCAAGAAAAATGTTGTTCAAATTCGTATACGTGTATTTCAGTGAGATAAAATAAATTAATGATTACTATTATTTTGGTTATTAATATAATTCAATAAAATTCAACTCTAAGTCAATAACATCCGATTCATGTATGTGTGGGTGTTCTCTCATTACTTAAACTAATTCCCACCATTGAGTAGAGATTTGTTTTTTGTTTTATTGGAATAAGTATATTCAAGGTCGCTTTCCGCTAGATTACAAAACTATATTAAATTATTATTGCTCCTAATTGAATTATACTTCGTTCACAATATCTAGGTGTTTTGAAGGGAAGTTTTCTATCACTTATTTTTCATTTAATGTATGTTACTTTATCAGCTGTTGAGCTATTAGATAGATTTCTTCCCCTAAAACTGCCTAAACATTGTGAAAGAAGAATATGACTAATTCAATAGGAACAATTATAATGTAATATAGTACTCAAGCCCCTATGTTCCATTAGTCAATCTACTGATCCAATATTATACTCCCATTTGGTATAACTGTTAAAAGAAAGTGCGTTCCTACTCAAACATTAGTTGAATTCAGATATATAGTTCCAATGTACACTTCATATGTGTTTTCTAGTTGTTGAATAATGATTTTTTAACACACGTAATTTATTGATAAACATATAAAGGCGATATCAGTAGATCAAATGTTCAAGTCGTCTTGTCGGTAAAGTAGTTTTACTATCATAGACCATAAATTCAAGTCGGATCGTAAACAAAATCATAAACCTGTGTTTGGCGAGCCGTAAAATCCCCTTTTAGTTCACAATACTGGAATCTCACCTCTGGTACATTCATTGTACATTTTTAACCCACGTACCACTAATACCTCATTTAATCTCAATAAATAAAGCTTAAAATAAAATGTAAACATCAATAAAAGTGTTATACCAGTCCGCTTTGTGGTATCCACTGTCCAGTTGTGTCAAGTTTCAAGTTTTGTATATTGGTGAGTTTAAACCACTTTAAATTAAATAAACTACAGTTCGTTTACTTAAAAATATTCTGATTTCTACTTGAGTACGCCCATTGTGTAAGAGTTGACCCATCAACAACAGAATCACAAAAGATTGATTACAATGATTGATTCTTTGTATTGTAAATGACAGCCACACCCTTAGCCTTTCAACGCTCGGAATGCTAAAAGCTTCGATCCCTCACCTCTTTGGTGATTGTTCTGTTAATGATAAAAAAAGTTATTAAGTGATTACAATAACATTAATCCTATTGTAATTATGATGAATTAGTGATAAAGTGAACAAACCTAGTTTTAAGATTCTTAGTAAACCATTAAATCAATATTAATCATTGAGAGCTTATATCCATTTGGATGCATGTAATGGGAGTTTATATCCATTTGCATGCATGTTATGGGAGTTTATATCCATTTGCATGCATGTTATGGGAGTTTATATCCATTTGTATGCGTGTTATGGGAGTTTATATCTATTTGCATGCATGTTATGAAAGTTTATATCAATTTGCATGTGTGTTATGGGAGTTTATATCCATTTGCATGTGTGTTATGGGAGTTTATATCCATTTGCATGCGTATTATGCGACTTATCCAAAGCCTAATTTCTTCCCAAATATTCTTTTCAAGATTGAGAGAATTTTGTTTCTAAAGGGAAGGTATTGCAGACTCGTTTTGTTTTCGGGAATCGTGATTAAGCTGAGTACAATAGGATATCAACTTATGTGTGTGGGTGTGTGTAGAGGACTAAGACTATTCAAGTGTGCCACTTTTAGAACGATACATTAACCTCTTCTTTGTATATCCATTTATCGACAATGAGCTTTCAAAATCTAAAATAGAATAATTCCATGTGTTTAAAATATATATCCAATAAATAATTGTTGTAAATTGCATCTTTAACTAACCCAAACAGATGAAAGTCTAATAATATTATAAGAATGAAAGAAATAAATTTATGGAAAATGAAAGAAGATAATCTCTTTTCCAAACACTGTGATAGCATCTTCAATATCCGTGTTATAGCGTCTAGCCTCCTATCGTTTGCACTTACGCAATCTTTCGATTTAGTTATGCTTTCTACAGATTGAATATATTTCTAGCAATCTTAAAAAAAAATAGTTAAACAGCACATAATAAATTTGTGTATTTAAATTTAACATAAATGAAACTAGGTTTGGATTTTCTTAATAATATTTTGTTCGTCAAATTGAACCACTGTTCAATTATTAAATAATATCAAGATACAATGTTGTTTTATGTAATTTTTTTCAATATCATTTTTAACATGAGTAAAGAAAAAGCCAATAAATTACAATGATTTTGAAAGTAACTGAACTAGTTCATCTAGGCTCAATATTCCTTCAAGACAAACGTTGTCCATATAATATTGGCAGTTATTTTTATGCTTATAGTATTTTTTGGGCTGTATAATCTTCACACATCCTTACCCTGATCCTTTATTGAGTGAAGTATTCGTGCGACAAGTAGAGTATTTCAATATGTATAGATTAAAGACCCGGATCCAATATCTCAGTCTCTAAGGAGATCTATAGACTCAAGGGTAACTTTGTCATCAGATAGGGTTGGTAAGATGCATTTGTGCAATTCGAATAGATTGTAATGCATACTTGCTCAATATGCTGTCACAAGAGAAAATTTCCTTACCTGGTACACTATATTAATATTGAAGGATTTTTTTAATGCTACAGTTTAGTGAGGCGGATAATGTTTGTATAATACACTGTCCATGCATTTTAAAACAAACTGTACTTTTACAGTATATACGATTACAATATCGCGTCGTTACAAGATAACTTGAAACCTAGGAAAGAGGAAGAACAGTTAATTATTTATAAATTAGGATGTGTGACATTTATCTGCTATTGACTCCACTTGCCTACTAACCTTTTTATCCAAAGTTACACTATAACACATTATAGTAAATAATTTGATTTATTATTTTAATGAAATACTTAATGAATATTCCATATTTGCATAAAAAAGCCGTAATTCCATCTACAAAATGGTAACGGATAAAATTTTAAAGACTTCAAATTGTATGCATACTGAGCAATATCACTTACTTAAACCCCTATATAATATTTGAAGGTAATAATATTTAAAATACAGATCACCAATGGTTATCGTAGTTATTATATGTAATATTAAAAAAAGAGCCAAGCTTTTGTTGTAATTACTCTCTAGGATGACTTAATGATTTATTTAGGAAATTACGTAATCGTGGTCTTAAGCTGAAAACACATAAACGAAACATTTATAATTTTTCCAAATCGTACAAACGAAACATAAAAATGTCTGAAATGTCCACCAAACAAAGCGGTGCTGCATTAAAGTTAGCATTAACTTCATCACTGAATGTTCTTTGTTAAGATAATATTCTATCTTTGTAAATTTCGAGCTTTAGGATTTGTAAAACTGAATAGCGTTTTAGTTTTACCACAACTTTTTTTTATAATATTTCACCCTTTTTCAAAGTTGTTGGTATTAGGAGGTACATTTAGACATTGAAAACCATAATATTATTTTATCTTTAGGGAGTGATGATTATACGATGTTGCTGGATTTTGTTGGCATGAAAAATATTTAATATAGCCATTGTATAACATTTTTAGAGTTAGGTTCATAAAGTTTATTCTGTTTAATGTTTTTGTTTCCAGGGTGAGCTTAGGTCACAGAAAATATACATAGTAGTACGTTTTCTGGGCTTAGGTTTAGATGTAATACTTTTAGGGCAAATCTGGACCAGTTCAAGCTATTTATCATAGCCATAGTATAGTAGTGTGATATAAACGTATCCAAAAAATGATAGTAACTTATCTACATTTTCATTGCTTTTAGAGAGAATGTGATTTCTCAATGTAGAGAAATCAAATGGAGACAAGCAAGAATTCCAGAAAATTGGGAAAACATTACATCACTATGAGCTTAAAATTTATTCTCGAAAAATAACAAATAGGTGACTTAGTCCAATACCTTTTTCAGTAAATTTAAATTTTACTACAGAAACTGATAGGATATAACCACTCTTCATAGAGCCTAGAACGTTGGTGTACAAATATGACAAAATATGCCAGATTGTGGTGTGTTATCAAACAGCTGCAGATAATTAATACGTTCCAATAAAAGGTGTTTGATAATTAGCCGAAACATGTGTAACACCAATTCAACTGTATGAAATTGCAGACGACCAAACTTTTTATAGTGCCATACATATTATCTATTCATCAACCTATAACGGGATCAGTTGCATGCAGCTATCTGTCAGTTAATTAACTAATGTACGCTTGACATATATTTGAAAATAGCCGGATTAAAATGAGTCTTAGTAAATATAAAGTTGATAAGTTTTAGAGTTGCGCCATGATAAGAATGTGTTCTGGAAAGTCTCAGTTTTCTTCAACTGAACCATAACAACCCTTGACACCGTGTCACAAAGTTAGTGGTAACAATTGACTAAAGTTGTGTTGACTGGAGGTGTCCACCTCGCTATTACTACACTATCCCACCTGCTTAAAGTAACCTTAAAGCTATTTAAAGAATTGTAAATGCTTGAAAAATCATTGAGTTTTCATATTAAAGTATCGTGACCAAAAACCAAAACTTAAAATAATCAATTACAAACTTCAAATATTTAGTAATAAAAACACATTTACTCACCAATGCTGCATTTTAGTATGTCATTTCTTGGATGGACTCTGCAACACATGTTGTATTGTTAAGATAAACAATTATATAGTCTATATGTTGAGGATTCAAAAGTAATTAAATAAGTATAACAATAAAGTAATAGTTTTATTTATCCGAACACAACTATTTTATACAGACTATATTCTTAAGCAAAAGGATGAGAAATACAGTGGTCAATATTATTTATGAAAAGTATAGTAAACATAGTATGTAGTCTCTCAGGATGAGTAAACTTTATAATGTTTTTGTGATGTACTTGAAATGTAAGCTCACTCAAGGTTATAAAAGCTTAAATAGGTTAAAATAACTTTCAGAGATCATTCAAAATTTTACACTGAACAATTCTCTTCTTAAAACATTTTTGATTTCAAATTATAGGGTGTTAAAAGAATTGAAACATTTTAAAGGCAAATACTGATACCAAATAAGTGACTATGTTTAATGTTTTATATATGTATTTAAAGCTAAAATTCTCAAGTCTTATTAGAAATTTTGTATAACTCGATATGAGCACCAATAGTGGCCAGGAATAAATCTAAGCGAAATTTGACCTCTTCCTATGGTTTGGTCAGTACACCTGCAACTATTCTCTGTCGGAGATGACTCAGATCACCAAGTAAACATCATTCTTTACTGTCCCTAAAAGGAAAACGTCCAGAGGAGTCATATCTGACCTCCTAGGAGGCCATTGGATGGACCCTTCCCTGCCAATCCACCGATAACCTGGGAGTACTGATCAAAAAACCTAGGAAGAGGTCAACTTTCGCTTGGATTTATGCCGGGCCACCAATTCAAAATGGATTTCTAACAAAACTTGAGGATTTTAGCTTTAAATACATATATAGTACATTAAACAGGTTTCTTATTTGGTATCAGTATTTTTGATCTCTGTATTTTTCTAGCAAAAATGTATTAGATTCTTAAGCAATGTACTAATCAATGTCATTTCTATTTACTAATTTAGAAGCAATTAATTAATTGTCCCATAACAGTTTTATATCAAGGTATTTAAATAATTTACTCATTAGGTAATAATATAATGTAATGCAGAGATTTAAGATCCTGTGTAATATGGTTTCTAGGCAACCTTCATGAGAGGATAATCTGTTTACTTTAGCAGTGATGACTATTGACAGACGACGAATCCAATAAACGTCAATAAACCTGCCGTTTCTAATAACACAGTGTTTACTTGAATGCTACAACCGTTTTATTTTGTTTAAACGATTTAAATTTATCAAGAAAACATCTATAAGACATCCCTCCAATGAATCGAAAATTATCAAATATTATTCTCAAATGGACATATTATATTACTGTAGTGTACTGTAAACTTATTGAAACCTAAAATATTTAACAGTTGTTTTCAACTAGAGCAACGTCGTTGCTGTTTTATCGTCAGGACCTTTAAGACATTCTAACTAATAAAATCAATTAAATGTTAATATATCACATTAAATACAATATCAAATAGGTATGCTGCATTTGATATAAAATACACAATCATTGGGATATTTCCTTTTAGTAACACAAAAGCTTGAGACGAATCATAAAAGAGTAACATAATAGGTTTGTTCCAGAATATCATTATCCTCAATAACTAAAGTTATTTTTATTTTTCTGATTTTAAAATGTGTAAGGCAGTTAATTTCTTCAGGTTTTAAAATTAAATTAAAATATAAAACAGTTTTGTAACTATTTATTCGATTAATGTGCAAATATTACATATTATAAGCAGCATAATCATTTTCCATCGTTTCCTAACAACATCATCCCAAAAGAATCCCATTTGATAGCAAAACGCTCCATTTGCGAGTAAGCAACTCGATTCAAATACTGCCATAATTATCTTCACAATCCTGTTAAAGACTTTATTCAGTTCCTGGGATTTTCTCTGTTAGAAAATAGTGACATGTAGTCGTATTAAAAATAGCATTGGCCACCATAGTTTTTTTGCTATAAGTAAATTGCATTTTTTCTTATATCCAAAATGCTAATTCTGTTTGAAAAATCTAAATTAAATTTCAGAAATAAAATGTTTATTGTAAAAGGAAATTATTAATAATGATTATTAAAGGAGTCCAAATTTGTGTTTTTACATTTGGAAATCTATATCTTTAGTGGTAACGAGAAATATGTATAGAGATATTTTTTATCAAAATTATAAACAAATTGGCTCGTAAAATATTGATATACAGTAATTTAAATATATCTTTTTACGATAAATATGTATAGAGATATTTTTTATCAAAATTATAAACAAATTGCCTCGTAAAATATTGATATCCAGTATTTTAAATATATCTTTTTACGAGAAATATGTATAGAGATATTTTTTATCAAAATTATAAACAAATTGCCTCGTAAAATGTTGATATCCAGTATTTTAAATATATCTTTTTACCTTAAGAACAATGATTGTTTTATGAAAAATTTGCATTGCTTTGTTATGATAACAACCTTCATGCATATTTATGATCTGAAGTTTTTTATATGCTTTTACTCTAATTTGCATCTATATTGAAATATTTTTACACGTCCTTTTACTTCTAGAGTAACGTGTTTTAGTGAATAAAGTGTGTCATAAAATGTACCTTGACACATTCATACGCAACATGAAGAACTATATTTCACCTTTCATCTTCGGACGAAGCAAAGGCAGAATACAAAGTCATTTGAACACTAAATTAAGTGTTCACAAGCTTGATAAAGCCCTTAGCCAACTCAAAGAAAATTAATTTTATTTTATTTATTTTCTAATAACAAGTTTTGTAAAACTCGAACTAATATACTTATTTTCAAAAGATTTCTTGCGGTGGCAGTTTATTCTCATAGGCTAACAAACGCCTGCATAAGTTGTTATCCCTCTGAAATCCGTTAAAACATTACTTTTACTTCCCTGTAAAAGATTCATGTGGTGGGTGTAACAGTGTTCGTTGAACCTGTAGGAAGCCAATAACACACAAACTGACCCTTTATTCTCACCTTCCACACCCAATATTGCAGCCAGGCTTGCCGATAAATCTGCCAGTCTGGAATGGACCGAGGCTTCACAACTTTCAATATACGTTAAATAAGATTATGCTAACGATATTTTAGTCGTTTCAATTGCATTCAATACCTTTTTTATATTATAAATTCGTTCGATTAAAAGTCATTGAAAATAAATAGGTTATATCACCTTAAACTTCTGATTTATATTACTTAAAGTTCTTTAATGCCTCATAATCGAACCACTCATCATAAACCAAGGTAATTGTTCGTTAGGTTCTATTGCCGGCTAAACGTTCTACAAAAGTTACATGTGTGAAAATGTTTAGTGTGTAAGAGCTGGATGTGTGAATGGTTATTAATGCATTACGTGTTAACAATTTTTAACATTATTTTTAACATCGATGTTCATCGAAAACATTGTTGCAATTAAACTTTAAGTTTAGTTAAATTACTTTTTATTTATGAAATAATACATTGTTGAACAGGTGCATTAAAAAAATTTAAGAACGAGGTTATGTACTTAGGCGTCTTGCACGTTGTTACCACAGCTAAAATTTGGATCCTCTGTTAATCCATCAGATTATTTATCTGTTGTAATACTCCATTTGCCTTTGTATGGAGCAATAGTCTATTTACCTAGCTATTTCGGCAACCTTAATATTGTCGTACAATTAGTATCACTAACATCAACGAAATTATTTAATCATCGATAAATGAACGTTACCAAATTAGATTATAAATTAATAAATTATATTGACGTATGGAAACAACTGATTTCCCCCTTTTAAACGTGTAGGACATATTCAATACAAAAAAATATGGTAATTTCTTTTTCATGTTTCACTAGTTAAATTTCATCACCTTTTTAAGCTGAAGTGTATAAACTGCAAATTCTCAAAACTCCAAATCTCAGTGGCAAATATTTACGAGTTAAAGTAATCCCACATCAAACATCTTACAAACATCACTTTATTCTCAAGTTCTATCAACTTTCCAGATTGCGATTTACAAACAGAGAGCCTTAGTCAACAGATTTTGATGTTTGGACATATTCAAGCTATACTATACATGAGATCCTTCCCGCAGGGAAGATTATTTTCATTTGAACCATTGAAAATACGAAATACTATAAGTTATAATTTTACGCAGTTTTGTTTTGTTCGTAAAACACAGTTACAATTTTGGTTTAGAATCTAAATGCACACCTATCCCTAGCTCTATAATGTACTTGTACACCTACACACTTAACGTTATACAGTGTTGAAATATCTATTTATTGAGTACAGTAAACAACTATTTTCCTAACTAATTATACTTTGAACTTGTAGTTGCTCAATGTTGAAAAAGTTATGTAGGATAGAACTGTATTAGCTTTTAAGTAACTGAACTGGAAGCTATTTTTAAATTAGTTTTTTCAGTGAAAACTTAAACCCATAAATTCAAGTATCCGTTGCTCACATGGTAAAGTGGGGTTTTTTAACATTAACTACTATTCTAGCTGATTTCCATCCTTATACGACGATTATAATAGGTTTTTAATGGTTTTTAATGTTAAAAACCTTGTAACAAAATTGACACTCCCACCAAGATATAATAGTATGCCTACAAACATGGAAAAGCATAAAATGTGCGTTCCTAAATGTAACCCCAACCTCATAATTTACGGTGGGTCCCATGATTTCAATCTTATTTTTTCAATTAACCTCATTATTAACACACAGCTACTGCTGAAAATTTGCAAGGATGTAACATGTCATTTCAATTGATTAAAAACAAAAGTGTATTTTGGATGGATTATTTCCAATATAGTGTATTTGAAATTATAAATAAGATATACTCAATGAAACACTACTTTACAATTTTATTCGTAGATAGAAATTCTAATAAGAAACATCGCTAAGCCTTTGAAATATCGGCGTCCTTTACTAAAAGATAAAGGTCGGTTTTGACTCAGAAGAAACATTGTAGAGTGCTTCTATGTTTTACAACCTTGTTTATGGGTTCTACCTGGCTCTATATCTGATGGTGCCTGACTGTTCTAGACCAACATGAAATACTTCGGGTCATTGCACCTTAATACTAGCGATATTAGTTTCCAAACCTGTCTTGTTGGATTCGGATGGAAAAAATTCAGGTAATTGTTTTACAAATCAGCAGAGATAGCTATTTTCAACGATGGACTGAAATTTTCCAGAGATATTCTTTGTTTTTCAAGCTCTTGGTGAGGGTAAAACCATCATTCTTACACTTATTTTTGTTTCCCAAACTACCAATTTGCTATCAATTCCCTATATGCAATGATATTTATTTTCAATACAAACCACCAGCACTGTGTTCATGGAAATACATTTACTTATATAACTAACAATAATAACGACTTATTGTCTTTTTTAATTACCATTCCAAAAATTCAATAATTTTTCTTTTTTTCTATTTGACAACAACTTAGCAGACGCACAGGTAGCACTGCCTATGTCTGCTCGTTCCTTTGTTTTATTGTTATATATTTTGGCTTTATTAAAACTCGTATGTATTTTTAGTTTTTATAATGGTTTTTCCCTGTCTTATATACTGTATTTTATTTTATAATCACAGTTAGTAGCCGATGTTTTTTTGGAACAAACTATAAATTCATTCATCTCATGATTTGTATTAATTAGCTTACCAATTATAGCTTCCCTCATTGTGTATTTTAGTAAACCGGTCTCGCAATCCGTTAATAATGAGTCTACTTACTATGTAATCGATATTTACACTTGGATGGTTTCCAACCCAGCTTTATCAATTAACTCTGCACATGTTTTGACTTTGACTAACTATTGCTTGTCAAACGCGTTTGTAAGTTTGCTCTAAACACCTACACTTACAGTTAATAGAAATACATTGCACTTTTGTTTTACACTTCTGGCAACGATTAATGCAAAGAAAATCACCTAATTGTTGTAATACTTTTATCTGGAATTTATAATATAAATGTAATATTTATAGAAATACTTTTTTTATGAGGTGTAAGTAATTAAGCCTTTGGAATCGTTAATGAATTGTTGAGAAGAACCAGTTGACACTCTATCCAATTGGGGGTTCTTAGTCTTCTTTTTTCGCCGTATTTATTGAAGCAGAAGAACATTAATATAAAACTGGATGACACATTTCATGAAATATGTCCATATAATACTCATATAATTATGACTGAGGATGATCATCCTCAAACAAATAAAAGCGTTAAATGAACACAAACAAGTTAAAATGTATATTGTTTCTTCTTACATTGCTATTGATTAAATTAGCTTAACCATAATCGATATACGATTGCTATAATTTAACTTACGTTAAAATAATTCATCCACCCATATTTTTTTTATTTCACAGCGTTTTAAAAACAAATTACAAATTACATAGAATATAGTTAAGTATGTACAATGTACAAATATATTTTATTTGCATCATTTGTTTACCAAATTATTTAAATCTAAGACGTAAAACGGTTATTATAAGCATATTACAATGAAATAAACACTGAACAAAATAGCCTACATCATAAGGAAGATTACATCATAAAAAGTATTGTCTGTTACGCCAACTCAATCTCCAAGACGAAATGTTATTTCATATTTCAAGGAAAATAACATTGACCAGCTAGAAACCAAACCTGTTCTAACATTATTCTGCCAATGAGTTTTTCAATCCATTTTATGTAAAATAAATCGAACTATCGGATTTTCTATTTTAACAAACTAATCTGACTTTTAAGGTATTTTTGGTAATTATAAACTAAATAACTCAGTGTCAAAATAATGTTTATCATCGTTTTTTTTTATTTACCAAATGTTTGTTACATTGAAAATTTTATGTTATATAAAATAAAAACCATAGTTTTAATTTAAGATTGTTACATTTTAAACAGTGATTTTTGGTACCTACCTCATCTTTGTATTATAAATAGTTAAAAATCGGAATGTACAAAAATACGAAAATATTTAGTAGGAAACCAGCTATATTATTTGAAAGAAGTATCAGTTAAGCTAAGGATAGTACCAGGTATTCTCTCATTTTCCTGTTAAGATTTTGGAGTAAGACCACATTTCCAAGTCACAATGAATACATGGCATACAGTTTATTTTTCTAACAAAATGAAACGTTTAAAGTGACATTTTGGCATATAAACAAATCGTCAATTGAAGATAGCCAAAACTATTTCGTCGTAAGCATTGGATGGCAGTTCCATCCAATTAGTTCCATGAATTTATATAATACTGGACAATTTCGGGTAAAATACAATTTCTGTGTCGTCTGGGGAAAAAATTGCTTAACTAATTGTGTCTCTTCATAAAGATAACATTGTTCCTTTGTGATTCACGAGCAATGGTTCGCTTTCTTGGAAGCCACAGTCGAAATATTTAAAACTTCAGTTACAGTTATTAATGATTGCATTTTAACTTTTACCTCAGAGTAATAACTTTTACTTGTCAAATAACATATTATTTCTTAGTTTATGCCTTTAACAACCTGAAATATTTTTCTTATTTCTTGTGACATATTTTATTTTCTCTATCAATATCCTGGCTCATTTATTCATTGACTAGTTTATACTAGTCTATGGCTTAGTAAAATTGCGTTTAACATAGACAAGTAAATTGATAAAGGGAGGCTATCGCTTGCTGTAGCTCTAATAAGCTGATTTACATATTATGTTTTTATTATTATTTTATAAGTTGGAAGATAGGTTCATTGGTTAATTTTTCCTGCGTACCAACTTAAAAAATACTACCTATTTACTTGCAATTATTTTTCCCAATTCTATTTTTGTAATGACTACGGATCAAATGTGTGGTTGATATTTAAAATTGAATTTGTTTTCTCCTTTGCTGTGTAGATAATATTATTGAGCTTTTATTTGGATCAATACAATTATGAAAACGTATTTTGAAAGCTTCATCTTTGTTAATCCCAAACATAAATACCTCTCTTGACACTGTACCTTAAAGTGTGTAACAACAATTGTCCCCTAATATATTCACATTACTTGAGGTGCCTACTTATAAGTAACAATACAAATCATAGATCTAAATGTAAACCTAAAAGAAATTGCAGGTATTGTAAAAGCGTTTAAAGAAATATTTAATGTGTAAACGTGGTTATTTAAAATACTTCATATTTTTTCAGTTATCCTACTTACCAATGCTGCATTTTAGTAAATCCTTTTACTTCGATGATCTCTGCAAGAAATGGTATTTTAATGAGAATGATAATTTATTTTTGTAATCAAAACTGAAATTTCATAACCTAGTAGTGATCGTGTGCTGTTTATTAAATCGTAATATTGCTTAAAAAAAGTATAAACAGATATTTAAATATTAAAAAAAACATAGTTTTCAAAACATTAAGACAAGTAAAACTACTCGTATTTAAACCTTCTGTGTACACTACTCTACGAGCAATACGGCGTTCACAATTCTCTTCAAGTTTATAGCCATGCCACCAATAAAACAGGAGTTGGAAAACAAGATATTCTCGTGTCACTAAATGGAGCAGAGATATTTTGGTCTGTTTAGATTTCTGTTTACGATTATCACGAATGTTACTCGCTCATTGGAGATCCAACAGCTTACGCCAAAAGTCATAATATTTTCAACATAATTTCCCGTAGTGGATAATGTTTATTTTTTCAGTGCATTCACTAAAAATGCAAATGATGCATTCATCGATAGTAAAATTTCACTAAGAATAAAGTAGGCTTAATTCAATATCTTGATAAAATTCAGTACTTTACTTTCTCCTAATTTATATCCACTCGAATTATTACCCTTCAAATTTAACTCTACTCAAGCTTTATAAAATATTTTGTAGATGACTAATTCAAACCGTTAAAAATAAAATTGTATCATAGGCATTCCTTTAAACAAAAGAAAAAAATTGTCTCAAGCTTCGTTACCAATTGAAAAAACTGGCACGCTAGAGTTTTCAATTGTTAAGGAGTTCAACAGTTGCGGCTCTACCCCCTTGGGACTCTTTAGCCTACTTTCTTCTTCACATTCTTGGAAGAGAAACATTGATGCGAGACTGGATAAAACAGCTTTTTTGTTATATATATATATATATATATATGTATCTAGCATATGTTTTAATTTCGATGTTTTAAATGAAAATAAATAATTTTAAAATGAATTGGAAATAAAACCAATATTTTATTACAAGAGTTATCATGAAATAAATACATGACTTAACTAAAGAAGAATAATTAGGGGCGGTTTGGGAGCTCGGTATTAGCGCTAGTCCGCGACTAAATCCGGATATTTGGTCCGGTTATTAAATTCAGTTGAAAAGTAGAATGGAATCATTCTTTAGGTAAACAGTGCACAAACACAACACAGGATACAAATAAGTTTAAGATAAGTTTATTATTTAATAATATTAACGAGAAAATTGTATAGCTATTGTTTAAGGTAATGCTGCAGTTAATTTAATATACATAAATCATTCTCAAGTTAAAGGGAGAAAATATTAGTTAAATTAAAGAAAACATTTCTGTTCGATTTCCCTCAGGATGAATATACAGGGTGAGTTTTAAATGAGTTCCCCCCTACTTATTTCTACATTTCTTAAGATATCAACTCCGGACCACGTCAGATCATTGTAGAGTAGTATGTACTTCATTTTGACTGGGTATAAATTTTTGGCCGCCATCTTGGATACAAAGTTTTTTTTCAAAAGTAAAGGTAGGGTTGTGACCCTTTGCCCTTTGTTTTAAACTAGATTTTTATGCTAAATACGATGCTGCAATTCGTTTTTAAAAATCTTGATCCATTCTAAAGTTATGAGAACTTTTTTAACATTATTTTTAGCCCATTTTAACATTGTGAATTTAAAAACTAAGAACATAATCGCAAAATAGTGCTAGATAAAGATTTATGTATATTATGTGGTGTATACTTATCTTTATCTAGCACTATTTTGCGATTATGTGTTTAGTTTCTAAATGCCCAATGTAGAAATGGGCTAAACATAATGTTATAAAGAGTTCGCATAACTTTAGAATGGATCAAGATTTTTAAAAACAAATTGCAGCATCATATTCAGCATTAAAATCTAGTTTAAAACGATGGGTCACAACCCCACCTTTACATTTGAAAAAAACTTTGTATCCAATATGGCGGATCCAAGATGGCGGCCAAAAATTTATACTCAGTCAAAATGAAGTACATACTACTCTACAATGATCTGACGTGGTCCGGAGTTGATATCTTAAGAAATGTAGAAAAAAGTAGGGGGGGGGACTCATTTAAAACTCACCCTGTATAAAAGAATGTTCATTGCAGGGGCAATAAAATTAATTGCGACACAGTTGAAATATGAGCTCTTTAAAATGCATATGAACACAAATAAATTATAATGACACCACGAATTGATTGTTTAATTATACATTAATCAGTACATGACTTTCAAATACGCATATTCAATTTGTAATTACCTTTGTAGTTTTTTTTGTAGTTTCATTTTAGTTACATTTTAGTTATTGGTAGTTTATTTTTCTCTGTATTTTTATTGAATCCTTCAAGGACATCGAGTATTTCTAATTTTGTTTCTGGCGATCCAATTTTAGGAATTATGTTGAGGCTCATATTTTAGATACTCAAAACTCGATAAGCGTGCTGTTTATGTTCATGCATTCATGTTATGAGCGTTGATTTGTGCCATTTTCAGAAATTTTTTATATTGCTGTATAAAATGTATTAATCGGTAGTTTTACCGTAAATCAAAATGTATAGAATATATCTCTGAACACTACTTGATGTAGGCCTATTTCATTTAAAGTATGCACGCTGATGATAGTATTACAAGAATTTGTTGTATTTTTATATTTAGCAAATCGACTTCTAAATAATTTTACTCCTAATATTTTCCGATATTACTCATGTGGTTAACTTACTATTTCAACACACTAAAGTAGGTACGGCAATGGAGAGGTTATTTTTAGGTCTTACTTAGTTATTTTATGGTGATTATAAGTAGGGATCGTAGCTCACATCAAAATGTCAAATTCGTATCCTATTTATGTTTTCTTCATTATTATTAAAAAAAAAGCCCTGAAAAGCGTTCCGCCATTTGGTAGACGTATTTCGTATTATTAAGCTAATCAACAACAACTTGACTTATCGTGAACTTTGTTTGACCAAACCAAAACTCGTGAGCCATAGTTATAAGCGAGTCTATTGAAGTAGTAATCCATATTAACAGTTGGATGGTTTCTGCTGCTGGTTTACCACGAAGCACTGCTCGTGTTTTGACTTTGAATAATCATCGCTTGTCAAAATTGTTTGCAACATTGCTTTGAAGTCTTACACTGTGTACAAATACACAATCTTGAATATTTCCACTCAACAAAGTAGATGTAAAGTATAGAGTTGTTAAATTAAAAAAAAATTACATCACACTTTTGAAAGTGATTTTGGAACAAAATACCTTGTAAAGCAGATTACAATTGTAAGAGGATTACCTGTTTTGTCACGTCTTCAAGAACTCATTTTATTTCACGTTCCAATGGAATTTTACAAACAACATTTGAATCATCTAGAAAATATAATAAGTAATATTTTATACATTACTAGCAGAATACCCGTCCTTCGTACGGGGTTGGCATATAAGTGTAAATGTTTATTGCAGTTATGGGAGTGTGTACCACAACTTTTTGTTACTGGTTGGTTCAAATTAGCTGTGGTCATAAATGCAAAAAACAAAATAGTGCTGCACCCTTTTGGCAAGCCTTATAACTTTTTAATGCTATTTAATATCAAAGATCCAACTTTTGCAGTTGAAACGGCTGACAAAATTCTTTAATTTCTTTAAATATGAATAGCCTACTCATAAGGTTAACATGAGAAACTCCAAAGCCTGGGGTGGAGCCTGAAAGAATTTCTGAGTTAAGAATGTCTATATTATGCAATGCCAGCTATCATCCTACCAAATTTCAACCTTGTCGGTTTAGTATTTTTCACGTTTACTTGTCACAAACGTCAATCCATGCATCCATCCATCTATACATCCATCCATACATCCAAACTTTCTTACATATAACATTAGTAGGATAAGTAAACTGTTGTAATATTGCTTGTTTATGTATAGATTTTTATCAAACTTGGCAAATTTATTTATATCATACTAAGTTAAAAATGTTTTCCTAAAAATCACACTTTGTTAGCCTCCCTGTAGGCAGCAAACCTAGGTACTCGTTAAACCCAATGTTATTGAATTAGATTTAATTGAAAATAAAGTCAGATTTAATTGAAAATAAAGTCCCACAAATGTAAATTTGCTTTGGCTGCAGGCTTGCTGCGGTGGGGGGTATTATGGAATTGTAATTGATGTAGAAAGAAGACTTTGTGGTAGTGCATGATTAACTCTAAATTATATAAGATACTAAATAAATCAATCCCGTTGGTCACAGTAGCGCCGGTCGCTTGTTATTTGAACAGCTACTGCAAACCAGATCTACTATTCGTATTTTTGCTAGCAACTATACCCGTGCCTTGCAACAGGATCAGTATGCAAAAGAGACAATGTTGGTTCTTTGAAAATGCCAAATTTCACTCCTACCATTTAATTTAGAAACAAAATGTAACTGTATTACTTAACTTGATAATAGTACGTTTTTGTTAACTCATACTGTGCATACCTATTTAGGCTACCTACGTTACAAAACCAATGATCGATTTTAAGGTATAATAAAATAATGTGTTTAATGGTTTGCACTATAAACGAAAAGCTATCACAATAGATCCAAACTTCAGGATAGAAAAAATTACGAAAATAGAAATAAATATGGAAAATAGGATAATTTTATAACATAGTGAAATTATAATCAGGCAAATGGAAGTTCGCTCAGACTATATATTTGCTGTGGAAGGGGGATTATATTACTGTTGACACAAGAATCAATAAATAAAATAAACCTCATAACACTCAGGATAAGGGCCTAGGTTGATACGGCAATGATTATATATCGAATCTTAATTATTTCATTTATCCATTAATGATTTCTTTTATAACGAATTATTTACTGTAAAATATTATTACAGCATTTCGCAAATATTAGAACATACTCAAACATAAACAAATAAAGTAACTGAAAGAATCATATACTAATGAAATTACATTAACATGGTTTGACAGCTCCATTTAAGTAGTGTTAGGCTAAATAATATTCGGGCGAGTGACATCA